GAGTCTGAGAAGCATGCGCTGGTTCCATTCTCATAGTTCTACACAAGTATGACAATTGCACCATCTTCATTATGTGCCAATTTATACTCATCTCCTTATCATAATTTTTTATTATTTATGGTCAATTGGCTAGCTGTGCATTCATGGAAATTGGTAAAATTCACCCAAAATTTATGTTTGATTATCCATATATAAATTGCCATTAAAATCAATTAAGGATAGCATTACTATATTCATTGATTTTTGAATTGTCAGCATTTTTAGGCATTTTGATTACAAGACTATGCACACAAAAATTATTGCTTTCTATGCTATTCACGTAACATTCGTACGCATGTCCATAGTCTAAATTGCTAAATTGCTGGTGGCCCATACAGGTCATATTATTGCTAATATTATTATATTTATATATTGGTTATCATGTGCGTGTATATATATATATATATATATATATATATATATATATATATATATATATATATGTATGTATGTATGTATGTATGTATGTATATATGTATATATATGTATATATATATATATATATATATATATATATATATATATATATATATATATATATATATATATATATTGACGTTAATAACGTTACCGGTAAATAATAATAACGATAATCTAATAGCGATGTGTCAGAGAGACAATAGTGGTATTGCTCTAGTTCTTAGTATAGAAAGTACAGTGTGTCTTTGCTAGCTGAGGAGATCCCTATTTATACTTAGAGTCCCAACGGTAACAACTCGGACATAAATGAGGAGCCTGGTCTTTAAGTCTCTCTCATCAATGGGGGCTTCAATGCTGTCTTCAATGTCAGTAAAGGTGGCACCTGTTGGAATTCCTGACCGTTGGACTTTCTATCCGTTGGGCTCCCATGTGACGCTGAGTCAAGAGTCCATGCCCATTTGTGATCCGGGTCGGGTGCCAGCCTATTATCCTGTCACCAGTCCCCCCTACTCCTGAGTCAACGGATGTGTTTGGGTTGACTTGGGAGTAAAGTTGATTTTATTCGATCCTGCATAGAATTCTGCTTGATTTAGAATATGTGATTTTATTTTCCAAATCCCTAATTTGCATTCCAAACCACTGATTTAAGCTTTTCAAATCCTTTCCTGCTTCACTTTACTTTTTTATCTCCACCACCTCTTCAATATAAAGCCCTGCCTGCGAGTAGTTTGAGAGCACTTTCGCAACAACTTCTTGCCACAGCTCTGTAAGTCTTTGCTGTCGTTATTATCTCATATTTTATTTAATATATATAAATATATATATATATATATATATATTTATTTATTTATTATTAATTATTATTATTATTATTATTATTATTATTATTATTATTATTATTATTTTTTTTTTTTTTGCCTAGGCGCAGGGCCTTGTGTTGTGGCCGAGGCGTGCTCCTCGGCCATTTGGCCTCGGCGTGGCCTCGGCCTGTGGCCGGGGCGCGGCCTCGGCCTGTGGCCGAGGCGCGGCCTCGACCAGGCGGCCGAGGCGCGGCCTCGGCCTGGCGGCCGAGGCGCGGCCTCGACCAGGCGGCCGAGGCGTGCCTCGGCCTTAGCAAAATTTATTTATTTTTTTATTTTTTATTTATTTATTTTTTTTTAAGGCGCAAAGGCGTCGCCTCGGCCTGTGGCTGAGGCACGGCCTCAGCCATTGGCCGAGGCGTTGCCTCGGCCACGTTTCACGTTTTTTTTTTTTTTTTTTTTTTTTTTTTGATATGCTTCGTTCCTGACAGGTACTTTCGTACCCGAGGCTTGCTAGCTTATTTGTAATCGTGAGGTTAGTGTCTTTGCTTTGTGATGGATGCCACTCCTCTTATTGATATTGGAGAACTTGATTTTGATGAAGAATACCTTTGTGATGATTCCCCTCTTGATAATTTTCCCCCTATCCCGTTTTCTGTTGGCTCGTCCACACCTGGGCCCCAACAAAAAAGGAAGAAAAAACGCAAGGCTTCATACTCCGCTCTTGATAAGTCCCTTATCTTGTCCATACGACCTCAATTAGGGGGCGGGATTGGGATGATATTAGTGGTTTCCTTAGTCCTGACGTTTTGACTCTCCCCCCTGACCCTCGGGGTAATATCACCGAGCCACCCATAGATATGTATTTTGGGGTCCACCTTTTGTCGCTGCAAGTTGGGTTGCGGTTTCCCCTCCATAGGTTTGTGGTAGAGTTTATGAACCACTACGAGATAGCCCCCGGCCAGCTTGTTCCCAATGGTCACCAGGTAATTGCGGGCTTTCTTGCTCTATGTAAGGACAAAGGGATAGAACCCACGCTAGATCTCTTCCAAGCTTTTTTCATAGTTGGTAGGGCTTCTCAGGAGGGTAAGGGATTCGTCCAGATTTCGAGCAGGCCACATTTCAAACTTTTTGAGGACCGTCCTACTTATAACAAGGATTGGAAACCAAAATATTTCTTTGTCACCCTCGTGGGTTGTCCGTCTCCCTTTCGTTTCTCGTGGGGATCCCATTTACGTTGTCCTCCCACTCTCGACATGAGTCCCTCCCTCCGCCGAGATGTAGATGATTTACTGGGAGATGGTCTTCTATCGATAGCTGATTATACTGCCGAGTGGAAGCTCGCGGGCTTAGGCTTCGTGAGGGCTCGTCCAGCTGTTCTTTCACCCACGGGTACTCTTCAGTTATCCTTCGGCATTTATTCGTCAACTACTAACTCTAACTTGTCTTCTTTTTATTGCAGGTACCATGTCTTCATCTTTGAGAACTAACCGATACTTGTCGCGACCGGATCCCCCCCCCTAAGAAGAGCAAGGTGGAGAAAGGAAAAAAGAGTCAAGCCGAGGCCACGGAGGTGATGCCGCCTCCGCCAACACGCACGCCGACCCCATCCAAGATCGCGCGGACCCCGTCCAAGATCGTTGAGCGTACGCCTACCCCAACAAAGGTCACTGAGAGGGTGCGTACACCTGCCTCAGCCAAGGTTGACGAGGGGGTGACGGGGCCTCCACCGACTCGCACACCTACGGCCGTTACCTTTTCCCCTCAACCCCCCGAGGTGCAAGGAGACACTTCCAATGGGTCTAGCTCGCGTGTCCGGACCAACTTGATCCGATTGGGAATGGACGTGCCACTCGGAGCGTCGTTGATAAACAAGAGTCTTGACGCGGTTGAGTATGCTACCCGTATCACTCCTCCTGCGGACGTGGAACACCTTGTAGCCATGGATGTCAACATGCTGCAAGAGCGTTATCTCAGGCACAGTTTTGAGGTTAGTGTTTTTCATACTTAATGTTCCTCTCTGCCCTGGCGTGTGTCTTACTTTGTTTACTTTCAGGCCCTGCTAGAGGGACAGATCATTCATGCCCAACGAGGGCGGGTGATGGACTCGCTCATTGAGGATGTTAAAATCAGGGACGCGGACAACAAAAGCCTCAAGGACTTGCTATCGATCCGGGAAGGGGCCTTGAGCAAGATGGAAGGCGAGCTTGGGGCGCTAAGGAAGGAACACCAAGCATTGTTGGCTCGGGCAGAGGCTATAAGCAAGATGGAGGGCGAGCTTGAGGCCCTAAGGAAGGAGCACGAAGCGGCTAAACTCGCCATTGTGAAGGAGCGGGAGGACCACGAGAGGACCCGTGCTGGCCACGCCGACGCCCTCGGCCGGGCTGTGGAGGTCTATAAGGATTCCGCCGAGTTTAAAGAGGACGTGATGCGCTATATGACTACTCCTGAGGCCATCCAGGAATTCCTCAAAACTGGGGCCGGTCAAGAAGCGGTGGAGGCCGAGGCACATGTGGCTTTTAGCATTGGGCGGTACACGAAGCAACAGGAGCTCTTTTCAATGCTGAAGGAGAAGGTTCCGAATTTTGACCCCGTGTCCCTTGGCTTGCCTATAATAGAGAAGAATCCGGATCCTGATGCTGAGGATGAATCCACACATGATGTTACGGGCGCTCGTGAGGACTCATTGGACGAGTTTCACGGCATTGATACTAGCAACGTCGCCAATGTTCCACTTGATCACATTATGATTGAGGAGTTCTCAGATCATGAGTAGCTTGTAGTCTTGAGATTTTCCCTTGCTTTCTAGCTTCGTTGTTGAACAATTTGTTTCTGTGTTTGGATAACTTGCTGCTGTTTTTAAAATATTCGAAATAAACTAGTTACTTCGGAATTATCATGCTTTTTTTTTTTTTTTTTTTTTTTTTTTTTTTTTTTTTTTTTTTGAGGCGCAGGGCCTTGGGCCGTGGTCGAGGCGTTGCCTCGGCATGTGGCTGAGGCATGGCCTCAGCCATCTGGCCGAGGCACGGCCTCGGCCATCCGGCCGAGGCGTCGCCTCGACCAGGAAGGTCGAGGCACGGCCCCGGCCATCTGGCCGTGGCGAGTGCCTCGGCTACTTGGCCGAGGCGTGGCCTCGGCCTGTGGCCGAGGCGCGACCTCGACCACCATCTGGCCGAGGCGAGTACCTCGACTACTTGGCCGAGGCGTGGCCTCGGCCTGTGGCCGAGGCGCGGCCTCGACCAGGCGGCCGAGTCGCGTGCCTCGGCTGAGGCTCAGCCAAATTTTATTTTATTTTATTTTTTTATTTTATTTTTTTATTTAACATGGGCGGACCATGAGCACGAAATATCGTTTCAGAAAATTTTGTAAAAGATGGTACAAAACCTGTTTTATTAAGCAACATGGACGGACCATGAAAGTAAGGTACCATTTTCTAGACTCTTAGTATGTAGAGCGGACGGACCGCGATCGCCAAGCACTAACTCTAACGATTGCTATTACAAGGTTTTTAAGGAAAGTACTTGATCAAATGTTCCGAGTTCCATACCCGGTCAATCATTCTTCCCCCCGTAGTTTTTAACTTGTATGTCCCTGGGCGAACGACCTCCTCCACGACGTAAGGCCCCTCCCACTTTTTTGCGAATTTTCCCCCTTCAAGGGGTTGGCTGGCTTCCCTTCTTCGCAGGACAAGGTCGCCGACTTGGAAGTAACGGGGTCGGACTTTCGCGTCGTGGTAGGACTTTAGCTGGCGACGTAGTTCTCCATTTTGCAGAATGCCGCCTCTCTCTTTTCATCCAAAAAGTTTAGATCCACCCTTTGGTGTAGTTCATTTTGCTCTGACTCGAATTCCTCCACCCTTATACTAGGTATGATCACTTCCACCGGGGCCCGAGCTTCAAATCCGTAGGCGAGTGCGAACGGGGTTTCTCCGGTGGCCCTTCTTGGTGTCGTGCGATAGGCCCAGAGGATGCCATCGAGTTCCTCCACCCAGGCTCCGCCGGCTACTTCTAGCTTCTTCTTGAGGCCGTCGAGGATGGTTCTATTCGCATTCTCTACTTACCCATTCGCCTGAGGATAAGATACCGCCACCCGGCTATGCTTAACGCCCCATCCTGCTAGGAATTCTGAAAATTCTCGTGCCTCGAACTGACGACCATTGTCTGTGATTACCTGGAAGGGGATGCCGAAATGATATAGGATATTTTTCTCGACAAACCTTTTGCACCTTGCTACAGTGATGCTCGCTAGGGGCTCGGCCTCCACCCATTTCGTGAAATAGTCAATGGCCACGATGATGTACTTTCTGCTTCCAGTCCCCGTGGGAAGGGCCCCTACCAGGTCAATTCCCCATCTTGAAAAAGGAATCGCGGTGCTTACCGGGGTGTAGTTCGTCGCAGGTCGACCCGGCAGTGCTTGGAATTCTTGGCACTTGGGACATCGCTTTGTATATTCGGCGCAATCCCTCAACATTTTGGGCCAAAAATACCCTTGTAGCATGATGCGGCGCGCAATGGTGTACGCCCCTTGATGCGCGGAGCATACTCCCTCGTGGACTTCTTTTATCACCAACTTCGCTTCATCTGGATATAGACACCTTAGTAACGTGCCGTTGTAGGAGCGTTTGTACAACTTATCGCCCGAGACAACGTAGCTAGGTGCCTGTAACTTCGTTACCTTGGCGTCTGCCTCGTCTTGTGGTAGGGTGCCATCTGCCTTGTATCGCTTGATATGATCAATCCAACATGGCTCCCTAGTCTGCACAGGGAAGACCCACGAGACGTCAATACTTGAAGTCTCGAGGTCTTCTAGTCGAGCGATCTTCCTAATGTGGCTGGGGACTCCGGTACTTAGCTTTGAGAGCATGTCGGCGTCGGCGTTCTGCTGTCTCGGTACCTGGTGTATCTCATATCCCTCGAACTCGCGCAAGGTTCTCAACACCGCGTCTCTGTATTTCTGCATGCTTCCTTCATTGGCTTCATACTCCCCGGACACCTGGCTGACTACCAGCTTGGAATCGCATCGAATTCGGACCTTTTCAGCTCGTAGTCCCGCCGCCAATCGCAGTCCATTGAGGAGGGCCTCGTACTCCGCCTCATTGTTAGACAACTTGAAGTGGAATCGGATGGCATAGTAGGCGCGGAATCCCTCCGGAGTGACGAGCACCACGCCGCCGCCGCAGCCCTTGCTGTTGGAAGAGCCGTCTGTGGACAAAGTCCACCACCCTCCATCTTCGGTTTCCACTTGGTCCGTCACTTCCCGAGCGGTGCATTCCACTATAAAGTCTGCAAGAGCTTGGCCTTTGATGGCGGGCCTCGGTTTAAAATCTATGTCAAACTGACTGAGGTGCATGGCCCACCGTGCCATCCTGGCGGAGCTGTTAGTGTTCCAGAGGAAACTCCCCAACGGTTGATGTGAGAGCACGTGGATGGGGTGAGCTTGGAAGTAGTGAGCCAACCTTTTTGATGAGGTGACTATGGCAAATACTGTTTTCTCCAACACAATGTACCGGAGCTCCGCGTCGTGTAGGGCTTTGCTTACGTAGTAGATGGGACGCTGAGTCCCTCCTTCTTCTTTGACCAGCACGGAGCTGATCGCACCCTGTGACACGCCCAAGTACAGAATTAGGGTTTCACCTGCCTCTGGCTTTGCAAGCAGGGGCGGGGACAACAAGTATTTTTTCAACTCTTCGAAGGCCTTTTGACAGTCTGACATCCACTTGAACCCTTTGCTCTTTTTCAAGATTTGGAAGAAGGGGAGGGATCGTTCAGCCGATTTCGACAGAAAACGGCCTAAGGCCGCCAAACGCCCATTGAGTCTCTGGACCTCCTTTATGGACCGCGGAGGCTCCATGTCAAGGATAGTCCTTACTTTTTTTGGATTTGGCTCAATGCCGTTCCTGGTGACCATGAAGCCCAAAAATTTGCCCCCATCAACGGCGAAGGTGCATTTTTTTGGGTTCAAGCGCAAATTAATTTTTTTCATAATGGAAAATACCTCGCTGAGATCCTCGGCATGGGAAGTGGCCTTGCGACTTTTGACGATCATGTCGTCCACGTATGCTTCCATGTTTCGTCCCAGTACTGACTTGAACAGCTTTGCCACCATGCGAGTGTATGTGGCCCCGGCATTCTTCAATCCGAACGGCATGACCAAGTAGCAGAATATCCCTTCGGGAGTGGTGAAGGCGGTCTTCTCTGCGTCCTCCTCATGCATGGATATCTGATGGTACCCACGGAAGGCGTCCATGAAGCTCATGAGTTCACATCCTGCCGTCTCATCCACCAATTGATCTATATTGGGTAGTGGAAAACGGTCCATAGGGCATGCCCTATTGAGGTCCGTATAGTCCACGCACATCCTCCATGTCGATCCTTTGGGAGCTAAGACTACGTTGCTCAGCCACTGTGGGTAGTAAATTTCCTTGATGTGCCCTACGTTGAGTAATGCGGTCACCTCCTTTTTCACGAACTCTCTTCGTTCTGCCGACATATACCTTTTTCGCTGATGCACTGGTTTTCTGCTGGGGTCGACCGCGAGCTTGTGGGTTATGATCCTTCGATCTATGCCCGGCATGTCCTCTGGCCCCCACGCGAACACCGTGTGAGAACGGCGAATTACATCCACTATTTGGGCCCTTAGCTCTGGGCTTAAGCCTGTGCCAATCTTCACCACTCGGTCTGGTCTGGAGGGATCGAGAACTATGTCTTCTGTCTCTGACACGGGCTCGGCGCGGGGCCAGGCCTCTTCTTCTTTGAAAATTTTCTCCGCGATCGTGTGGACCTGTAAGTCCTTGCTGCCGATCTTCTTGCATGCCTTCACGTAGCAACTGCGGGCTGCCCGTCGGTCGCCTCTGACGACTCCTATTCCATTCGGAGTGGGGAACTTCATACACAGGTGTTCCACAGATATTATGGCCTTGAGGTCCTCTAGTGCTGGCCTTCCCAGTATGATGTTGTGGGCACAAGTGAGCCTTACCACGATGAACTCCATGTCCAGCTTGCGAGCGTTGGGGCTCGTGCCTATCTCCACGGGCAGGGTCACCGACCCTTCTGTTTCCACCGAATCCCCAGTAAACCCAGAGAGTGGAGTTCGTACCTCTTTGAGCTGGCCTCTAGGTAACCCTAACTTAGTGAAGGCGTCGTAGTACATCACGTTAACCGAGCTTCCCGTGTCGACCAAGATGCGATGTACGATCGTATCATTGATGTCCATCTTAATCACCAGTGCGTCGCGATGGGGTAAGGGGCCCTCGGGGAGGTCCTCGTCAAAGAAAGTGATGGCCTCCCGCCTCTGCTTCTTCCCTTTGGGAAGACTCACCACTTCTCCTACGTACAGCTGCCTGCTCCACTTCTTCCTCTCTGTGGGTGTGTCGCCGCCAGCTGGTCCCCCGTAGATGAAATGTATGGTGTGTTTCTTTTGTCGTCTGGGCGCCATCTCGGTTTCCTTCTCGCTGTCATCCTCCTCCGATATCTGGTCGTGCTCCCTTTTCTTGGCGTTCGAGGTGGATGGCTCGGCCCCATCCCCCTTCCTCCAGACATTCTTTGGTGGATTTTTTGATGGATCGTGCTGCGGCTGTTGCTGCTGCCTGGATCGCTTGACAAAATGCCGGAAGTAGCCCTGCTGGATGAGTTCTTCTATCTGTCTCTTTAGCACATTACATTCGTCCGTGTCATGCCCGGGTTGCCTATGGAACCTGCAGTACTTTGCTTGGTCCCCTTTCGGGGAGACCTTCATGCATTCCGGTGGGAACTCGACTATTCCCATCTCCTCAGCCTGTTTTAGGATGACACTGACGGGATGGGTAAGCGGAGTTAGGTTACGCAAGGGAACCAGGCGAGGCCGTTCATGGTCCCGGCCTTTCCCTGCAGCCGGGTGGTTCGAACGTGGCGCTTGGCTGGGCGGACCAGCTTTCCCAGGTTTTCCATTCTTCCTGCCGTCCTCCTCATCTTTCTTTTTCCTATCGACGTCCTCTGCCTCGGCATAGCGGCTAGCCGTCCTCATAAAATCTTCGTAAGAACGGGGGTGGTGGGCGTTTAGCTGCTTGTGAAAATACCCCGATCTCAAGGCATGGATGAATATCGGGATCGCCGCCTTGGAGTCGAAATCGTAGACATTGTTGACTTCCTTTTTCCACTTGATTAGGAAGTCTTTGAGGCTCTCGCCTCTATCTTGCTTTACTACACAGAGGTGAGAGAATGGTTTCTTACGCTGTATGTTACCGGAGAAGTATGTTAGGAAGCTTTTTGACAACTCCCCAAAATTTTGGATCGACCCGTCCGGGATGGTGTTGAACCAATCTTGGGCCGTTCCATCCAGGGTGGACAAGAACGCTCGGCACATGATGGTGTCCCCCGCCCCGATCATTACCATGGCAGCCTTGTACCTAGTCATGTGGACCCGTGGGTCAGTGGCTCCGGTGTACGCCTTGATGGCAGGTAACCTGAAGTCCCTCGGCAGGGGTACGTCCATGATGCTTGGGGAGAACGGTGCTGCCATCCGTACCTCAGGTTCCGGCGACTGTTCCCGTGCCTCCACCCTTCTTGCTAACTCCTCGATCCTTCTCTGCAGCCTTTCGACCAGGGCCGGCTCGTCAAGGTGTCGGCGCGGAGCCGGCTGCCGCTCCTCCCTGTGTCGTGGGGCTGGTTCCTCGACGTTTCGTCCATCCAAGTGTCGGTGTGGAACCTGCTCATTAACGCGTCGTTCGCCTGCTGAGTGCCGACGCGGGGCCGGTTCGTCGAAGC